TATTCAACAACAAAAAATACTTAGTTAAGCATATTGTGCAAAACGGCAATAAAAAAAAAAAAAATCCTATCAGATTTATAGTTCCCACACTGTAGATCTATTAGAATCTGTCCTTAAATTACAGCCAAACCCATTTACACAGTAACAGATAAAAACCTTTAGATAAACCAAACATTACCGCCACATATCGGACTCAATAACCATTAAAACAACTATTTTCATTCATTTCAGAAGGAACTATTCACAGATTGGAATATATTAAACTGAACTTACAATATTCAACACTGTTCGGTGCCAAGTAACCTTTCCTCTGATCATGGAGCAAATCACGTCTTGCTTGGTCTCATAATGAATCCTGGGAAAACCAATGATACCGAGGATACATCGGACCCGTCCTTCAAATCGGGCAAGAAGAAGGACACATTTTAAGGTCGCATACCGAGGACTCTTGGAATCCAACCAGACCTCGGCGCCGCGCTCTGACATAATCGTCCTTCGAATCTGGCCTCCCAGGATTTCGAACAGAGCAAATCTCCCTCTATACACAGAGGAGGGCAGGTCATGAATTCAGCTCAACAGGCACGAATATTAAAATTCACAAATTTAATGACCTCATCAATATATTACACTAAATTAGATCTAAACAATGATAGTCTAAACAATTGAGAATATGGGTCTGGTAGACGATATAAACTTACAACCAAAAGTTGTTTTGTTGTTATACAATTTGAATGGGGAAACTAAGGGTTAAATGTTCATAAGAACATTTAATAATATCTGATTGAATCGAACCAAAACAAATAAGCCACCATGCAATATTTAATGATACACTTTATTGGATCAGTTTTTAAAGAATTACTTCATTCAAAACCATTACCTGTAATTACAAAAACAGCTTTTTCTTCCCTCTCCTTATCTCACTTACAGTCATCTTTGATTGATATGTAAAGTTCATATTTACATTCCTACGTCTCGGCCTTTATTGTTCAACCACTAACAGGTTTACCTGTATATGCTGATCATTGGGTGCTTTGATAAGATGAAAATTGATGAGCTGTGTTTTTTTTGTTGGTTTTTTTTTATCAAATCACAGAGTAATTTCCAAATTATTTTGCTGAACTTGTTGCCTCTAACTCTTACAAAAGATATCATATTTTCTTTACTGTTAAAGGCACATATGTGTATCAGCACATGAGTATTTACATTTCCTGGCGTTTGTCCACTTGGCCAATGTCATTAGGCTGTTTTTCTGAGATTTCTTTTCATATAAGTAATCTTTATCAAAGTCAGTTGTTTTAAATATAGAGTTTTCACTTGTAATAGATTAGTATTTTTTCTTGAATGAGGTTTAAAAAACTGCTAAAAACTGCTAACAGCTAAATTATGTACTTCGATAGATGCATACTTCTAGTGTAACAAAGGAAATTCATACAACACTAAACATACATTATGCAATGGATGTTGAGAAACTCTACAGATTGAGATAGAAGATTATGCAGTAGTTTCCACTTCATAGTGTTTAACAGGAAATTTTTAAATTGTGATCAGATGCTTGGGTGGAAGTTGAGGGTGAGACTTGTGAACTAGGTGCTATTTTTCCCCATATATGAAGCTAAACATAAAGTCATATGACTTTCTGTACGTGCGTTCAACAGAACATTGTTGGCTTCATCTTAAGCATTTTTCCTCTTATGATTGGTAATGCATCTCTAACGTTACCAACCATTTACCTAAACTTTAGAGGGGAAACACAAACTAATTTGAAATTAGCTAGTGTTTTATCGACACCTTGTTTTCCCCTTCTCCTGTTT